TGCATATTGATGGTATTTAACCCTGTGCTGTCAAATCTCACCCAGCAGCTTCATGTACATGTTAAATAGGAGGGGGGACAGGACCGAGCCCTGTGGCACACCACATTTAAGGGGCCTATGGGTCGACCTTTGCCCCCCAACCAACACCGACTGCGACCTGTCAGAGAGGTAAGAGGAGAACCACCGTAAAACAGTGCCTCCCACTCCCACCTCTTCCAGCCGTCGCAGAAGGATACCATAGTCGATGGTATCGAAGGCTGCTGAGAGGTCAAGGAGCACTAGGATAGAGGAGTGTCCCCTATCCCTGGCCCGCCAGAGATCATCGGTCAGTGCGACCAAAGCGGTTTCAGTGCTGTACCCAGGCCTGAAAGCAGACTGAAAGGAATCTAGGTAATCTGCTTCATTCAAGGACCGTCGGAGTTAAAGCGCCATCACCTTCTCAACAACCTTCCCCCAAAAAGGAAGGTTGGAGACAGGACGGTAGTTGTTAAGAATAGCTGGGTCCAGAGAAGGCTTCTTGAGGGGGGGGGTCTTACCACCGCTTCCTTCAAAGGTTGCGGGAAAGATCCCTCCTGTAAAGACGCGTTCGTAATCATCTGGATCCAGCCTTGTGTTACCTCCCTGCTGGTCGAGACCAGCCAGGAGGGGAACAGGTCCAGTAAACAGGTGGAGGCACTCATCGCTCCTATGGCCTTGTCCACTTCCTCAGGAGTGACAGGCTCGAACTCATTCCAGGTAATCTGATCAAGACTCTCCCTCGGCATCTCTGCTGGTACTGCCCAAGTGGAGTCCAGGTCTGTCTGAAGCTGAGTGATTTTATCTGACAGAAACTGAACAAATTCCTCAGCCCTTCCTTGAAGGATTTCCCCCGCATCCTCACCTTTCAAGAGGGAGCCGGTTACCCTAAACAGGGCGGCTGGGCGAGATTCTGCGGACGCAATAAGAGTGGAAAAATTTTCCGCATTTTGCCGCCTGTATCGCCACTAAATAAGTCCTAATAAAGGCTCTTAATAGTGTTCGGTCAGATTCGGAGTTACTAGTCCTCCAGCGTCGCTCTAGGCATCTCTTTTGGCACTTCATCTCCTGGAGTTCCTCGGTAAACCAAGGTGCCCTCCTGGATCCACTGCTGCGGAGAGGCCGCAAAGGCGCAATCCGATCCAGTGCCTCAGCCGCCGCAGTATTCCAGGTAGCGACCAAGGACTCTGTCGGATTGTGGACAAGAGAGTCAGGTATCTCTCCAAGCTCCTTCTGAAATCCCAACGGGTCCATCAGGCGCCTGGGGCAGAACCACTTAATTGGCTCCACCTCCCTGCAATGGGGGGGGTGGCATCCCAAAGTCAAGCCTCAGCGAGGAGTGATCTGACCATGACAAGGGCGATATCTCTATTCTCCTTAATTCAAGATCATGTCTCCACTGCCCCGAGAGAAACACAAGGTCGAGCGTGTGTCCCGCTCTATGAGTCGGACCCTGAACTACTTGGGTCAAGTCCATGGTTGTCATGGAAGCCATGAACTCCTGTGCCCCGTCAGAGTGTTCTCCTAGAGATGGCAGGTTAAAGTCCCCCAATACCATTAGTCTGGGGAACTCCACCGCCAACCCGGCTACTGTCTCTAGTAGCGCAGGCAGGGCTGTTGTGATGCAGCTGGTAGGTAGGTACATCAGAAACAAGCCCAATTGAACCCCTAGGTCCAACTTCAAGAGGAGAGACTCACAGCCCACAATCTCTGGGGCAGGGATCCTGCGAGGAACTAACGACCTTCGGATAATAACTGCCACTCCCTCACCCCTTTACTGGTGTCGCGGTTGGTGGAGCACCTTGAACCCTTCTGGGCACATTTCTAAGAGGGGGACTCCTCCCTCTTGGCCCAGCCAGGTTTCAGTAATACATGCCAGGTCTTCCCCCTCGTCTAATATTAAGTCCTGGACAAGGGGAGCTTTATTTACCACAGATCTGACATTTAGCAACAGCAACTTGAGACCAGGGCCCTGATTTCCTCTGTCACCAAGTCCTTGAGTTGAGCTTGAGGGGCCGGAACAAGGGATCGCTGTGATGTAGTGAGCCCTTCTTCCCCGGTAATGGCTAGCCCTACAGTTCCCGTCATATCTGCCCCTCCCAGTCGTAACAGCAATGCTCCAACCCGCCCCCATCCCCGTAGACCCTCTCCCATGGCCACCATTCTTCCCGGCAGGCCGCACATACCATTCATTCTAGGACGGGAGGCAGATCTGGGCCCCCATCCATTCTGCTTCTGCACTCAGTGGAGGGGGCTCCAGACCGCACTCTCAGTCCCATCATGTGTAACACACAAACAGTCTCCTCATACACACCCTACAATAATCATTAAAAGAGTACAACAATATAATAAATTAGTTAATTTAAAACCGGGTACATTCTCACTCCATTCATACATTCACGCACTCAACAAACAGGTTAAACGCAGTTCCGCAAAAGCGGTTTGCGCAAGTTTGAGTAGCTGGGATTAATAGCGATTTGGGAGGGACAGTTCATTAACAAATTAATTACTATGCAATCAAATTGAGAAGCTATATAAAATTAAATAGGAAAAAAATAATAGCTGATTTTAAATTTCACTGTTGTATTTGAAGAAGTCATAATAATCCATTTTATAGATAGAGACCTCAGGTAGGATATTTTACTAAACTGGATGTAACACATTCTTTCTCAGAATGTATGTTCATCTTAGAACCATAGATATCTACTTGCTTCCATGGATAAATACGACTTTTCAAGAACAAAAATACTGTATTTTTCAGTCTATAAGATGCACTTCCCCACTCAAAAAAAGTGGGTGAAAATGTCTGTGTGTCTTATAGAGCGAATGTTGCTGAAGTCCCACCCACCAGCCGGCCTCCACACCTCGTCTTCTGTCTCCCAGCAATTTGCCTTCTTGCAACAAACAGCAAACAGCCTGGTCAGCTTCAGAACACCTGATTTAGCACTAGCAGCTGATTGGCAGAATACCGCCGATCAGCTGTTCCAGGCTGCAGGGATTGCTACCACCACCGCCTATTGCTGCCGCCACCTATCGCCACCTCCACGGACCCCATTTTTTGCCTCCGCATGCCCCATTTTTTGCCTCCGCATGCCCCATTTTTTGCCTCCGCATGCCCCATTTTTACCTCCTGCGTATCCCATTTTTGGCCTCCGCATGTGCCATTTTGGGCCTCCATGCATCCTGCTTTCAGCCTGTGGCAATACCTGCCGCCTGGAACGAGCCAAAAATGGCACACACGGAGGCTGGAAATGGGACATGTGAAGGCCGAAAATGGGGTTTGTGGAGGCGGCGATAGGTGGCTGTGGGAATGGGTGGCAGGGATCCCCACATATTGAAACAGCTGATCGGCGGTATTCCGTGAGGCCAATCCAACCACCAATCAGATGCTTGTGCTAAATCAGGCTGTTCTGAACATGTCGGGGCTGTTTGCTGCAAGGAGGCAAATTGCTGGGAGGTAGAGGCAGATTTTTTTTCTTGTTTTTCTCCCCCAAAGCTATCTCCATGAATATGCAGAAACAAAACTGAGTTTATCTAATTAGTGAAAGAGATTTGAAAGTGTTCATAAATATCTCCTCATTAATGAAGTGTAATATTTTATCATAGTGCAATATTTTGCTGATTTTTGTTATTTACATTAATGTATTTAATGTATTTTTCTCTTTCCCCTTGCCAGATGCATCTAAATCTTACAATGTAATAGTGTTTCACTGCAGACATATGTTCCACAAAGAATGTTTTCCTGAACCTAACACAGTAAGTGACCAATTTAATCTCTTTGTGTTCTGAACATTATCCTAGTCTAGGTGTTGGCAGCTGGTGGCTCCGGAGCCGCATGTGGCTGTTTGAGCCCTCTCCTGCTGCTCCCTGCTGACCCAGTCGTGTGACCTGTTCTCCACCCTGAAACACTGGCCCAACCCAGCTGTGACTGACATCAACCTCACTAGCATGAGGGCTGGCAGGGTGGGAATGGGATCCGGAAGGAGGGTACAACGGAAAGGGGGACAGGCCTGCAGGTGAGGAGCGAGCACAAGCCACAGTGGTGGCTTCCCTGAAGATGACCCTTCTCCTTCTCATGCAACCCCCTGGTTGGCTGTTGTGCAGCCAGGAGAGTGCACACGAGCAGTGATACCTCAAGTAACCAGCTGGCCTTGGCAAAAGCACAGAGAAGGCATGGGATGCGGGCGGGTTGACCAGCTGATGGGCAAGCGTCTTTGGTGAAGGCACTCCGGCTTTCTCTGAACCTGATCCATGAGGTGGCCATGTGAGATTCAGCAGAGCTATCCCCCTTTTCCCACTGCCCTGAGCCTCTTTACTCCTCCAGCTGAGTGGTGCCACCAGCAGTGTTGATTGAAAAGCATCCTCTGGGTGGAAAAAGTCCCCTGTGCACGATTTAAAGCTGCCTGGAGGACGCTTTCAATGAACACCACCAGTGGCACTGTTGGAGGACTAAAGAAGCTCAGGACAGCAGGAAAAGGGGGCTGGCCCTGCTGAACCTTGCACACATACACCAGGGATCAGGTTCAGAGAAAGCCAGAATGCCCTCACCAAAGACACTCGCCCATCAGCAGGTCAATCTGCCCACTCTATGACTTTGCTGCGCTTTGGCCAAGCCCGGCCACTCACTTGCAGAGGGTATCTCCTCTCATGTACAAGAGAGAGAGAGAGAAATAGAAATGAGATTGTGTGTGTGTGTGAGAGAGAGAGGGAGGGAGGGAGAGAGAGAGAGAGCAGGAGCCACAAAAACTGGATAGGCATAGCTGGAGGGTTTATCATGTAACTGGGTGGGAATGACGTTGAATCCACCCAGGTTTTCTGGTTCTCAATGTTTTCTTTTCTGTGGGAAACTGATTCAAATGGCTCTTTGAGTATTTAAGGTTGATAACAAGGAGAAACTTTCACTTAGACTTTAACAAGAAGTTATTTTTATATCCCATTTAATACAATGGGCACTTAAAATCAAATTATCTATTAATTTGCATATATTTTAATAGCCTTAGTAAAATCTACTAGTTTAATGATTGATTAGTTGGGGAGGCATTTTAATCTGTGGAAATGATTTTCCCACAACAGGGTCAAAATACTTATTGCATAATTTAGCACTCAAAATGCAAGTTGCAATACTGTACATATTTAACTGGGATTTTCAATCAGTTTAATGACAATTACTTCTGGGATTGAAAAGATTATTGGAGAAGCTATTTCCTAATTAATTCCTGTTTTGAATCACAGAAGTGGTTTTTTCCAGCTTATTCCTTGTAGTTAACAGTAGGCAAAATATTAGAGTCGTCTTGTGGAACAAGATCAATTTCATTTCTAAGAACTGAAGTAGATTTAGATTCTGTTTCTCCATATATTTAAGCATCTTCTCAAAAATAAATATGGAATATTTTCATGTGTTTTGCAATGTGGAAATTCAAGTTGCATGTTTTAAGATTACAACTATTCTATTACTGGAGTAAATAAACTCACTTGTATATGATTGTATATGTTTGATAGGCATTTATTCATTTAATTTTGTACCTTGACTTTCAACCACTCTGGATAGTCTGCAGATAAAAACACACAGGACATAAATAATACAATGATAAAAACAAAGAACAAAACATGGCACAAACCAGCAACATCCAAACCACAACTCTATTCTGTGGAAGGGGGCTTCAATCACCCTTGCCAAAGCCCTGGATACAAAATCAAATCTTCAATGCTCTCTGAAATACCAACAAGGTGGGGGCCATCCAGATTTTAGAGGAATCTGATTCTAGATGGCATGAGCTACTATAGAGAAGGTGTTGGGCTTCTGATAGATAATTGTTTAATTGAAGTATCCAGAGCACATCAATCCCAACATTGAATCAGTCAGACAGATGCTATGGGAGACAAACAGTAACCAGATCCTATGCCCTGTAGGATTTTGTTGGTAATAACTGGCACAGTGAATCACGCCTAGAAGCAAACTGAGAATCAGTGCAGTTCACAGAATAAGGTCACATTTCATACTCAGCACATTTCATAAATATTGATTAATTTTGAAAAAAGCATTTGACTAACCCCATGTACGCAAAGGAAATATGAATTTGTGCTTCTCAAGCAACAGTACAATCCATCATCCTTAAAGCAAACTGCTATCAAATGCAGTTTCTAATTATATCAAAGAATGTAATTCAAGGAATATAAACATGATATACAATAAAGCAATACAATAAAATATTGTGAGATACAGGTAATCCTCACTTATCAAACACAACTGAACCTAGAATCTTAGTCATAAGTCATTGCAGTCATTAAGTGGATCACTGACTTACATTTAAATCTTTTTATGACAGTCATAAAGCAAGGCACTGCTGTTGTTAAGCAAATCACTTGGTTGTTAAGGAATTCCATTCTCCCAAATAAGTGTGTGTGTGTATGTATGTTGCTGGAAACTGACAAAACAACATCACAATGTTATGTGACTGGATTTGAACAGGCACAGTTAATGGATTTGAGCAATAGATTGTGTATATGAATTTTTACTTAAGGATGAATGTTGTAGTGCTCTGGCTAAATTTTCTCTTTTATACTTCTCTCTTTATTAAATAAAACAAAAAAACTATAATCTCTTATTTCAATTGCTAATAAAGTAATGCTGGTTGTACTTAAAAAAAAAATCATAATCTTGTCAGTTTTGCTTTTATTTGCTGCCAAATATGCAGTAATATAAAATCAATCAATTTTTTTATTTCCAGGAATCTTCATTACACTTCTGTAATATTTGCAGTGCTAAACACCGTGGCCCAGGCAGCGCCATCTTGGAGATGAAAAAATAACCTTCTCTGGCATATCAAAAACATCTGTATGTGTATGCGGTTGCTTTCATGCGGGACAAAAGAACACACACACACACATATAGTTTAACTATATAATAAAAAGAGCTTTAATCTTACATGTCACTGATATTTCCTATATAAATTTGAAGTCTTATGACCATGTGCAGGCTATTGTAACTGACTCATACTTGCTGCAGTTCAAATTGGTCACCTGTTTGGCCAAACCTATATTATATAACATAAGATAAATGTCTATGGGAAAATTTACTGTTGATACAGTATGACCTCAAACTAAATCATGTTATGTAGAATGCATTTTGAATCTATATTTATGGACAGGTTCAAACATTAGTCGCTGTTTAGATCTTATCTATTTTTTTCTTCTGAGAATTCCAAACAGTTTTTGTTGATAGCAAAACAGTCAGTGTTAAAAATATTTAAATATGCTTAAATATTTAAACATTGAAATGCTTCTAGATGCAAGCAGGTGCCTCTAAAAAACTTAAAGACAAGATTTTCCGCTTTGTCACTTTAAATAATTTACTGTATTTTTGAAATATAAAACTCACTGGAGTATAAGACGCACCAAGATTTTAAAGAGGTAAAATAAAATAAAAAGGTTTTGCATTCTGCAGACCTCCCAAACCCTCTACATGCCTCATTTTTTGTGAAAAATGGGATATGCAGAGAGATTGAGAGGCCTGCAAAGTGCTCCTGGGGGCTGGGAGGCAAAAATGAGCAAACAATGGCCCATTTTTTGCTCGTTTTTGCCCTCCCCAGCCTTCAGAAGCACTTTGCAGGCCTCCCAAACCCTCTGCATGTCCATTTTTGTGAAGGGGGCGGGGTTTTGGGAGGCCAAAATGCTGTATTCAGTCTATAAGATGCATCCAGATTTTTTGGGGGGGGAGGGGGAAGATACGTCTTATACTCCAAAAAATATGGTAATCTTCAGAATTATATATTATGCTTAAAGGGTTAGGCAAATTCATTGTGCTATTACATACATTTGGAATTCCTTAGGAATTTACAAAACTGATTCAGAGAACAACTGATCCTGGTATCATTGGCCATTGAAAATATAGTTAAATATAATTTAATTTCTAGAAAGACTCAGCAGGAGGAGGCTAATCAAAAGTTCTATTAGTTAGCCATAATAGTTACCTTTGTGGTTTTTTCAAAATGAAAATGATGCTAAGCAGCTCTCAAGAATATACTTTTGCTGACTTTAATTTGAACTATCCAAATATATTAGTAATTTGTGGAACAAATAAACAAACAGCAGCTGCTGATCCAATGTACAGAACATTCAAAAAGTAACCAGAGATTAGACAAAGTTATAGTGGAAATTTATAACAGATTGTTAAATGATACCCATGTATTTGTGTTTTAAATTTTCAATAAAGACATGTTTTAAATTGACTTCTAAAGGATATAATTTGTAAACAAGTGCTTAGAACTTACTATGGAATTGATAAAGAAAAAAGCCCTGAGCCAAGAAAATTTGGGAATGACATTTTTTACAATTCACTCAATATAGTAAAAAGGCAATAGAGCAGGGATGGAGTGCCTCCCTTTCACCCAGGATGCCAGCCCCTATTTTCTCTCTGCCTACTATGCGTATGCCCAGGGGGTGGGGCCAAGGCAGCTGGGAGGACCCTTGTTGGCTCCAGAGTGGCCTCATGAGTCAAATCTAAGACCAGGTACAGGAACCAACACCTCTGTGGCCCAGGTGCGCTGCTTACTCACGTGTGCTGGCCTTGCTGTTTCAGTTCAGGAAGCCTTCAACTGAGCAAGGAAGCATCAGGTCTAGGCCCCTCAACTGCATCCAGCCCAGCAGAGTTTGCTGCACCTGGGGAGGAATGAGATCCCATTCTCCCGTGGACTTCACTTGGATGTAAATGGGGTCTCTGCGTGCAAATGAGGCATTTGAAAATGGAGCTATCTTTGAGGGTCATCCATACTGCTGCACCTCCACTTTCTTGGCTTGGACACAGCTGGGGCACCCAAACTGCTGGTGGTGGTGGGAGCCACTGAGCAGCCATTATACCCCTCCTCAGCCAGCCAGCCCTGCCTGACCTATTCCCTGTTGGCCAGCTGGCACAAAACCTCGCTACTTTTCTCATCCTCCCTGCTCAACATTGGCAGACTCTGCTGGACAATTAGATCTCTCATTTCTCCACTGGCATGGTGAACTCTGGATGCGGGTGCCTCCTCACGACATCATGACAGAAAGCCATTATTTTTACTATTGCCTTTGTTACATTTGTGTTGCATTTGTGCTGATAAATAAATAAAGGGAGACTATTATAGATCTCATTCAAGCTATTTAGCTCTCATCAGCTAGCCATACCCTTACTGGGATTTGAACCTGGGCTATATTACATCCTAGGCAAACGTCTTAGCCATTAGGCCACAGGCTCATATCCGTTATCAGCAAAGCCAGGGTGAAAGATATCTATTCGATTTTTTACAAAGGTATCTATTTAGATTTTTTTCTTCTAATGGCTAAGAAGTTTGCCTAGGATGTAATATAGCCCAGGTTCAAATCCCAGTAAGGGTATGGCTAGCTGATGAGAGCTAAATAGCTTGAAA